GAAGTCATAAAGACAGAGATGCTTCATTAAAGACTTTACCAAACGTTCATTGAATTCATTCATGTCACCTGCATGTGAAGGTGAGCCGCCAATCTACATACCCCACAGACGCTGGCGTGTTTACCAAAGTCGTAAAAAGTAGTTTGTTGATCTGTTTTTTATAATGTTGGTAAGATTGGAGGAGAAATTTTATTAAGAGATCACAACTGTGTCACAAGTCACATAGGACTAATGTTGCTGCGCAATGTTTTTATTTCGTTTGTTTGCAAATGTTTTCCTTTTTGCTCAGAGATTTGTTTGTCATTGGAGCTTGGCTCTGACAAAAGCCTTATTGTGTTATTTGTGCTATAAGAAGCGTAGGCTGAATTCTGATGAAGATCTATTTGTTAGAATTTGATTATCAATTTTAAATTTAATCATGAATCCAAGCTTTCGTCACCTATTCTAGCATACACGTACCCCTTGATATTTTGTTCTGATATGTTGGAGCAGATCAAAAGGCTCTGTATGCTTTACGGTTGCTTTCAATAAGATTTGGTTTGTTGTTATAAGTCTTTGCTTTTGCCTTCGTCCCTGGCCTCAGTACAAATGTCAGAGTTCGTCTTCGTTGTTCTACTAGGTGTGTGTGTTTGTGTGTGTGTGGGGGGGGGGGGGGGGGGGGGATAAAAAACAAAGTCTGCACACCTAGAACTGAGATAAGAGTGTTTTCTAAACCTTGTTGAACTCTGTCGTTGTGAGATTTACCCACATGTGTGTAAATTTAGTCTGTTTACAATAGTGATTTAATATGGTTACTCTTTTTAGGTAAGACTATCCTATGTTAAGACATATTTGAACCTCTGATGATTAAAAAAGACAAAACAGTAACTTTTTGTGACCCAGCTAACTTTTAAGGAAGTATGAAACTCTTAACTCTAAAATCATGAATATACAAATTTTGTCGTTTCATTCATGACATTTGAATTTTTATCCATTATCTCTGGATTTTATCACGCAAAAGCTTCATTTTTGTACCTCTTTATCTCTCTCTCTCTCTCTCTCTCTCTCTCTCTCTTTCTCTCTCTCTCTCTCTCTCTCTCTCTCTCTCTCTCTCTCTCTCTCTCTCTCTCTCTCTCTCTCTCTCTCTCTCTCTCTCTCCTTTCTCTTCTTTCTTCTTTCACTGTACAAATCATCTCAACATCCCTGTTCTTTTGGGGGTTTTCTTTGGGGGGGGGGGGGGGGTGTTTCTTTCTTTTTTTTTTTTCCTTTTTTCATCATGGTGATCATCTCGTGCAATTCCTCATTTCATAAAGCCTCTAGAGAGTGTTGCTGAGCTGACCCCTGTAAGTGTTGGTGACCAGAGCGTCTTGACACACTTGACTGTTGTCTCTCTGTCTGTCTGTTGCCATTAGCGTGTCAGTGTCAGTGTGTGTCGGTAGTGTCACAGGTTGTTGTTAAAAGTGTCAGTATGTGTCGGTAGTGTCACAGGTTGGTGTCAGATTGGCATCAGAGTGTTCATAGTCTTGTCACAGGATGGCATTAGAGTGTTCGTAGTGTCGCCGGTTGGTATTAGAGTGTCAGTATGTGTCAGTAGTTTCACAGGATGGCGTTAGAGTGTCACAGGTTGCTGTTAGATTGTCAGTATGTGTCAGTAGTTTCACTGGATAGCATTAGAGTGTTCATAGTGTGGCAGGTTGGTATTAGAGTGTCAGTTTGTGTCAGTAGTGTTACAGGATGGTGTTAGAGTTTCAGTATGTGTCAGTAGTGTCACAGGATGGCATTAGAGTGTCAATATGTGTCAGAAGTGTCAGAGGATGGATGGCATTAGAGTGTCAGTATGTGTCTGTAGTTTCACAGGATGGCATTTAAGTGTCAGAGGATGGCATTAGGGTGTCAGCATGTGTCAGTAGTGTCACAGGATGGCATTAGAGTGTGTCTGTGTGAAAGTTGGGCAAAAATTTGAGAGAAGGAAAGGAAAGAGGCAGGGACTGTTACTGTAATGGAGGTAACAAAGACAGAGAAAGGGATATTTTCAGAAAAAGGGAAAGTTGGGGAAGAGAATGACTGAAACAGAGAGAGAGGTCGCAGCGAGGAAGAAGTTAATGAGGGAAGAGATCTGAGCATGAACGACAGAAAGAGAACAGTTCGAACCTGCTCTAACGGTTGCCTGTACAAGAGTGCCAACAGTGTCACAGTCAGTTGTTGGATTGTCAATATGTGGCGGTATTGTCACGGAACGTCAGTGGGTGGTTGGCGGTGCTCTGGTGTGGTTTGCTTCTTCTTTCCTATCAAACATCTATCGTCTTTATCTCCCCTTCTTCTTTTTTTATGTTTGTTACTCTCTTGTAACACCTCTAATCTTCTGGCGCTCATAAGACCTTATGCAGTTGCGAGTGCAGTAAAACCTCTACTAAAACTAAAACTAAACTAAACAGAACGTCACTTGAAGGGTAGCGCATAGATGTCTTGAAAAAACTCAAAAGAAGTAGCGGGGAGAGGGGGGGGGGGGGGGGGGGGGGGG